AGTTTTTGATGTAATTAGATTAAAATGTATTAAGCTCTTAATTTTAGTCAAAAATTTCTCGGAACCTGATTTTCCTAAAAACACTCCCATATACAGACTTTTTTCGCTTACCTAACCACTCAATAGTTAATATTAAGACCCGGCAATGTTATAGATATTATTCTACTCAGAATATTCCATCCTTCCGGAGCAAATATACATATTAATAAATGCTATTTCGCTAAATCTTATTTTGCTAAATGTTGTAAGGAAAAAATTCAAAATATTTTTTGGGGATCGACTTATGTGTGAAAATCAATTTGTATCACAAGCAGCCCACATAGAGTTACAGATGATTTGTGATGTATCACCTATTACATCATATATACTTTAATGAGGATCAGAAACACGTTTTATTTATATCACACACTGGAGGCATTTCGTATGGTTGTACAGTATATTATTTTATTAAGACAATATTCAGGATCTGGGTCAAGGTCTGATCTGGAAAATTCAGCGCACAAACTCACAATTATCATCTAAGTCTGTGAAATTCACGGTAATATCTTTTCCCTGTAAATACGATATATGTATTTTAACGGCAAATCGCATATAGGTTTTTCCATTCCTGATGATTTACTCTTATATGCCTTGTATTCTGAAATTCTGATGAAGAATGCATAATTATATTTTTTTTTATGAATACTACTATAATATTCAGGATTCCGTAGCCATTTTAACATGTCAAGCCAATATGTACCTCTAACAACCATATAGCCTTGCTGATATAATAATTTCCTAACAAGTATGTGTGATACTGTATCTAATCGTATCCATAATTGGGCTATCTTCTCATACATCCAATCATTTCTTACTGGATAACAACGTTCCCCTTCCCCATAACAAATATATCTTGATTGTTCTGATTCATTTTTTATACCTAAAAACTTCATATTATCAGAAGTACCATCATTCCTCACCGTCTCCCAAACTCGTTTTGCCAAAGATTCAGGTCTTTTCTTGTAATTTCTATAAGCTTGCTGGATAACTGTTGCATAGAAATTCTCAAACTGATAGTTATATTGTCTCGCAATCAAAAATCCCCAAGATCGCTTCATTGATCTTCCTGAAATACTTCACTAAAATAGTTATACAGTATATTGGAGGATCTAACTCGGAATAGGCAAATCAGGTTTTTCTTCATATATATGAAGCATTTCACAATTATACTAGGCGATCATGCATGCAGATTATATAGCCATTCATTTCGCAAAAAAATAAAGTATAACATATGTTTGGCTAAATATAATTAAGATACATAATGCTAATATTCGGTTGAAAGATATTATTTTCGCACAGAATTGAAATATGCTTCAGCAAGATCGCTCAAAGTAGTCCTGCCAGAAATATTAGACATATTTGATCGATCGTTCCAAAGATATCTAAACTCAGGTGCACTTGCACTACGTTGCATGGGGTATCTCTCGAGACCACCCATTAATGTAACAGGCTTTTGTGGCAACGGAGGAGGAGTTGGCCATTTAGTGTTTTATATTGTGCATAATTTTCATAACTAGCCGTAAAATTCGCATCATGATCATATGATACCGATGCCAACTTATCCTTTTCCAAGTGTGAAGTTGATTAATCCTCAAAATTTTTTATGATATATGCAACACTTCCGAAAAACTAGATGCAATGCCTCCGATGCATTAGCCTGAACGAAAGATTTAGCTAGTAGATCACGTGCGCGTGAGCAATTGTTCACGCCGATCACTTTTGCGAGACCGATATGGGCAAACTAAAGCTTTATTAATTAATTTTTTCAATTTATGCAAATTTATGGTAAATGCTATTATACAAATCATTTTGGTATGTTGCGTAGAAGTCACGACCGCACGATCGGTGTATTAATGATGCTTAAAGCTAAATATTATCACCATGATCCTCCTTATTTTTACTGCTTTTGTTTTTTTGGAGTCCACCATGGATCGCAAATACAGGATTTGTAATTTACAGAAATACTTGTGTCAGGCTCATCGATCCCGAAAATACCGTCAAATTCATGATACCCGACCTCCAGGTTATTTATCAAATCGCTAGTTTCTTTGTACATGTCCTATATAAATAGTAGTTTACTTAGATAAATAAACCTCTGATGAGAAAAAGAAAAAATGAATAGATCTTACCATGACATATTTGGTAATCTTTACGGATGATTTCAGCTTCTCGATTTGAGCAAGCTTGGTGGGCAATTGAAACTTTTGTCCCGGAAAGACGACATAGAACCCGTTCACTTGATCTTCTATTAACATCTGGCCGTTAACCCCAGCAAACTGGATGAAAGGAACCTTTATTGAATTGACCCGTTCGTCTTTCCAATCAAGCCTCAATAAACCATTCAGAATTGATTGATTGATACGGCAAGAACGGCATCGATCAGAGATCGTCTTATCAGAAGTGGCACGCACCGCAAACTCCCACTCCCCCAAATCCATTCCCGATGAAGACAAGAAACGAACATCACATTTTCTACCCTTGGTAAAATTTGTAGACTTACTTAAGGGGCAGAATGATTCGCCCCTAATACACATAATGTGAGGATTGTATGATAGTTGAGTAACAGAAATCGAAAAAAATAAGTTTGACTTACCATTTCTGTCGTATCCCGAGAGTTTTGTTTAACCCGTCCACGATGTAGGAGAACGCTTTGACGATAATGTCAATTTCGGTATGTCCTATGGAATCACATTCCAGCATGTCGTCCCCATCTATGGTTCTGTATAAACTACATATAATTATATAGTTAATAATAAGTTGGAATTTGCAGACAGCTTAAAGGTAATACTCACAATTCACCGTAAATCTTACTGATCTTGTTGATGCAGCTGTTAATCAGCGAACTATTATACTTTTCAGTGCATAGTTTGAAGGCGGCATCTGGCCTGCCTTGGTGCACCATCTGTAAAATAAATGTGTAAAATAAGGAGTATACAGCAAGCAAAAATCCAGTCAAAGTACCCACCTTTTCAACATCTAAAATAAACGTATTAACTTCATCAGGAAGCTCTGGAATTTTGAGAAACGCTTCATAATCTTTGACCATGAACTGCCTGTCAGTAGGAGAGAACCAACTTCTCATTTGCGCGGACAAATCTATAATCCTTGACGCACCATATCGCAGGATTGCCTTTTCTACAAAAGTTGGCCTTTTCTTCTGTTTGTATGATTTTGAACTTTCGGATATGTTTGTTGCAAAGATACCTTCAACAGATTCGCCTGAAGGAAGACTCCATTTCTGCAAGTTGCTAGAGGGAAAATCAAAAATTCCATCCGGACTAGGAACAACATCATTTTCCTCATCTTCGTCATCTTTGTCCTCGTTTACTTCGCCTTCACTCTCGTCTGAAGGTGAGAGATTCAGTGGAGCCGCCTTCTCAATTTTGGTACCGTCAGGTAATATATTACCCTAGAAGAAAATAACCCGATTTACCCTTATGCAAAAGATGTTCTTGCAGACAAAATTTTAAGCTATATACCGACCCTTTTTCTTGATGTTTTCTTTGACTTTTCCTTATGAAGGCAAACTTTCTTTTTTTGTTTTTGCTCCTCATCATTCTAAAGATTAAAATGAAAAATAATTAGTACCACGAATTCTCAACTTCTAGCTAAAAAAATTATGCGTCTTTACCTCTTGATCTCGTTTTGATGTAGCCCTTTTAGGCGATCCAAAAGTTCCATCATTTGATCCATCGGAAAGACAACTTGACGTAAATACATCAGGTAAAAAATTATTTATGGGATCATATTGATCAACTTTCTGATTCTTAGGATACAGTTCTTCAGACATATAGGAAGAAAATACACGATCGCGCTTTCCAGTTATGGTGATAGAACAAAGTGCTTCGGACTCTTTAGCAACTTGTTTTGCAAGTGTCATTCTAGGCTCAATTATGAGCATGGAAGTGGAATACTCTTCGAGGCTTTTGATTGCACTTTGGATGGTTGTGCAATTACTGTTCGCCTATAAGGTAAAGTGATGGGTGAGAAAGTTTTCATAATGATGTATCGAACGATTCAATACTTACGAATTGGTACGATAATAACTCCGATGTAAACTTCCGGATAGATGAAGGAATAGAGTTATTGCGTGCTAACTTTGAAATTTCTGTTGACCAAGCTTTCTCTGCAATTCTAGGTCTTGCGGCACTATCCTTAGTGTTGATCAAGAATGTAACGAATTTAGGAAAATTCCAATTTTCTGCGTCGGTTACTTTGAAGAACTTATGGTACTCGGACTGTTCGGACGCTCTATACGTTCTGGCTTTTTGTAAGATTGGAATTTCACTAGTCATTGTTTTTTTTTTATTTACTGGAACTACTGGAAGAACGACTAACAATTAACAAATTTAAAATCTATCGGAAATTCGTGCTATAAACCATTAAGGCACATCAGAATGACGTAATTTCTGATCTTCATTACACGCGACATTAAAAACGGGATTTACGTTTAACGGCAATTTTTGCCCTTCACTCAACTGACGATAATCTCAGCTTTGCCGGGTTGGCCCATTTTCTAGCAATCCTGCTATGACCAGTGGCAACTCGGTCGAGGGGGAGCGATGTAATCCTCCCAGAGTTTTTGACATCCATGCAGACATTACACGAGCTATTGCAATCTTTATTGAGTTAAAGAGCTGTGTAGTAAATCTTAACTCCATCGAGTTGGCCCATTTTCTAGCAAACCTGCTATGACCAGTGGCAACTTGGTTGAGGGGGAGCGATTTAATCCTTCCAGAGTTTTACTACTTTGGCAGATCTGTTAAATACAAAAGGTCAATAAAGAATTTAAAATTGTTTTATAGATATTTTGAAAGTTAAATACTCATTGCTCGCGTATATGTTTTTTATAAAGTCTCAAAATTGCGAGAATTCAGCTTAGCCGAGTTGGCCCATTTTCTAGCAATTTGCTATGACCAGTGGCAACTTGGCTGAGAGGGAGCGATGTAATCCTCCCAGAATTCTCGCACTCTAGGCAATGTAAAACCCAATAATAGGTGAAGCTTTATTAATTTTTTGGATACATAAAAGTAAGTGAAATAATATGATGCTATCAAAGAGGGAGGGAGTACACGGATCCTAGGCCATTTAATGCGAGTCCCAGCATCAGCAAATTTCTAGTAAGTTTTTAATATTTCTCGTTTAAAAGAATTTTTTTTATTTACAAATTGTTTTTTTTTTAAAATGGAAGATTCTAATTTACAATTATTGATTTAGATCCTGACCACTATCAGGATTTTAATTCACTATATGGACATAATACTACCAAAAAAGATCGTCACGAATGTAAAGAACTTGCTCCAAATGGAATTTTAGTTGCTGCAAGGGTTCATGATTTTGTTTTTTGACTTTGAATCATTGCAAATGGCTATGGAAACATTTGTTTATACTTGTGGTTCACCTATTGTCCCAGAAGATCATCCCCTATATAATAAAATTTTTGTTAGAATGAATTTAACTTG